TATCGCTTCGATTCGTATTCATTTTTAGAACATTTCCTATTGTTGTAGGTGCTACTGTTGTTGTTGCTGTTGTCGTCCCAGTTTGGCCGTTTTAGCTTGGGGCCCCGTCCGCGTCACTTATCTGATAAGCATCGGTCGCACGGTAGGCAAAACATATGTTTCGACAACTTTACCGTAAGTCACAAATTTTGTTTCACTTCTCATTTTTTTGTAGTTTCCCAAGTTGTTTGGCAAAACAACAACAACAACAGCAATAACAACAAAACCAATAAAACTCTTAAAGAATTTTGCATTTTATCTAGAAATTTTTTTGCACTTGCTCGACAAAGTTTTTTGATTAAAAAAATCCCTATGCCAACAAATTGGAGTTGTATACACACATTTCTACAGCATGCTAATGAGTTTTGTTTCTCTTTTCGATACTGATCGACCTTCACTATATGACTACTATATCATATGAGTATACAGAAAGCGAAATACATATAAGAAAACCCCGACTCCCCCATTGCCATTTGTTTGTATATACATACATATTTTGATTTCCTTATAAATGGAGCTAGAATAGAATACCTCATGCGGATTCCTTTTACGCACACATTTTCAACTACAAATAGATTATCAGATTTCAGCCTGAAATGTGCAACTCCTATACATGCATACATACATACATACATATGTATATATCAAACTATCAACATTTCAAAACAATCTTTTCGCAAAAGTTCATTTATTTATAGAAGGATCGATTTTACTGCTCGTACATAATATCACATCGGCAGATTTCGGGCTAAGCGATATAAAATGTAAACATTAACCAGTTCAATTGCATTTTTCTCAGAGGGCAAACAATGTGCAAAACTGCTTGAGAACAACAAGTATCGATTACATCAACGGTTAATCGTGTAAGTACTTCGACTAGCGATGGCCGCAAGTTCGATATGCAATAATATATGTATGTATGTATGTAAGTATGCATGTCAACAAGTCACGGAATGTCATGAGGACGATAACAATATTTGCGGAAGCTAAAATATCGAATAATTGAAAACGAACTAGTGATATACATATGTATGTATGTATGTACATATGTATATGAAAAGCTTTTTGTTTATCATGTTTTATGTGTAATTTCATATTTTTGCGAATACATATATTATGTAAATAGATGTATGTATATGCATACATACATATATTTTCATTTTATTTTATATGTACATATGTATTTTTCCAGCAAGCCATCACGCGTTCACCTCTAATGCATCACATGCTCTTGCATAATTTTTATGTATGTATGTATGCATGTATGTATGCATGTATTTATGTGCGGGCATACATTTCCCATTTAAAATCTGCGAAATACGACGAAAGCAACAACGAATTGAAGGTAAATGTGAACGTTGCGCTTGCGCAGCGAACCAAAAATCTAAAGAGTGACGAACAACAACAAAACCAAAACGGAAGAAAATATACAAAAGAAATGAAATAAGCACAGAGTGCGAGAGGGAGGGGGGATGGAGGGATAGAGATAGAGAGGTGCTGCTGCTGGCCTGAAGGAGGGCGAGGCTCTTTCACTTTCAGCTTAAAACTGATTTACAATGAAAATTTGTGTGGCTGGCTCAAAGCTTTAGCCGAAGGTCTCAGAAACCGTTTTAACAATTGTAGCCGTTGCTATAAGTTTATTAATGTAACTGTGTGTCTGTGTGTAGCCATAGCTGTCTCTGTATCTGTATGCATCAGCGCCCGTGTATGTGTATTTGTTTATGTATGTATTTGTATCTGAAACGCAGCAAAAACAATCGAGTGTACACAAAGCAAATGCGCCCTCGTTTTAGGTATCTAGATCTCTATATATATATAGGTATATGTATACTATATAAATATCTAAGGTAGCTCGCTGATTCACGACTTTGCACTGCCAATGACTCCTTATAATTGGATATATATTGAGACTTGAGTGGGCTCTGTTGCTATTGCATTTGAAAAAGTTGAAGAATTTCTTTTAGAACGAAAGAGCTTGTCCAAGCTCTGGGACTCCAGATTTTTATATATAATAGATGTGAATACTCAAAACAGAGGGTTTTCTTGTATTACTAATCGTAGTTCTTTGTGAATGATTGTAATGATATTTGGCAGAAATGTTTGCGATATATGTATATGTATATAGATCTGGTTTACAGACTTTTGAGATCTTCAGCAATTCATACACCATCCATAATTTGCCAGCGAGAAAATATCAACACTCTTTTCTTTCATATCTGCTCAGCTCAGCCCCCTATTTGTGATGCGATATACGTACATGTGTATGCAGTATGTATATATATACATATATACATGTGTATAGTTCAGATAATCTGTATTTGAGAACCAAGTACACCCCGTCGCATTTAATCACACATTTTGTGTTGTTCTTTCTTTGTTTGTTGTTGTGAGCATTGGCCTGGTTGGGGATCTCTTATCAAGCATAAAACCCTCGCACCCTCTATTCACATATACCCTATATAGTGTAAAATAGACTGTCGAAATCAAAGCTCCTTTGTGCCCTGATCTATTTAAATTGGAGCAATTCATAGGGAGGGGAGGGGAGTGGGTATTGGCACGTGATGTCAATAATACGTTCAACAGGTGTACGAATCTGATCCATTATTCCTTATAGTCCATTTATATATAAATACATGTATTACGACATATATCAACAGAACTAAATAAACATGGGAACATATGGCAGAAGTGCAATTGCTATTGTTTCCAATTGGTGTTTATATAAAAGGCAAATATTGATCAATTCAAAAGCTGATGAAATTGGAGCATTTGCGATTCCAGGGGCATTATGCAACACTGGTGGGTCCAACGATTAGATTTTTCGACTTGGAAGGGGAATATTACTAAATCGATACAAAATCTGGCTATACTTCCATATAAGACTACTTCTATGTACAATATCATGGGGACTAGTTTATTAAAGTTAACTAGGCAAGTTCTCAATGGAGTAAATCTAAGGCTAAATTGAAAAATGTCTACCTTAATATTTTCAATTCGCTTTAGCCATAAGCTGGAGCCAGTTCCGATCATCATTATGTGAGCTATGAAACAGAGCCTAACATAGCCTACTTCGATTGCAAACTTTTGGCAAGGAATGTGGGAGTTAATGGCAATGGGAATTCATTCAGTTCATAACTGGGATTTGAATAGTTGTTTTGCATTTATATTTCATAGGGTATCTGGTAGTCAGTCGGGGGAGAACTTACCGCGCTTTGTCAACAATGTGACCGAGGCAGCCGTCACGCCGCGCAGCTTGCGCACGTGACTCTCGATCTTGTGGACACAGGAGGCGCAGGTCATGCCCGAGATTTCCAGGTCCACCTCGGCCTCGCCGTTGTCGGGCTCATCGATGAGCTCGGTGGGAAAGCCGAGTTCGGTTATTGACTTGGCAATGTTTTCGGCTGTTACAACATTTGCATTGTACTTGACCTCCGCCTTGGCGGCCAGCAGGGCGACCAGGATCGTGTCCAGGCCATAAATCTTGCGGCAGTGCTTCTCGATGGCCGCCACGCAGCTGGCGCAGGTCATGCCGCGGATGTGCAGGAAGCACTTGGTCAGCATCTCCTGCTCGATGGGCAGCTGCACCTGGCCGACAGCTTTGCTAGTTCCATTGCCCATCTGTTGCTTCACGGGCGATTGCCTGGGCGACTGCCTGGGCGATTGTCTGGGCGACTGTCTAGGCGTCGCTGTCGTCGTCGTCTGYGTCGTCCCACTGGCCACGCTAGCGTCGAAGCCCATGTCATCGATCATCTCGGCGATTTGCGCCGCTGTCAACTGCTGTGGATCGTACTGGACGCGCGCACACTTCTCGTCCAGCTGCACCTGGATGCGCTGCACGCCAGCAATGCCGGATATATGCGACTCGATGTTGCGCACACACGACTGACAGGTCATGCCCAGGACGCGGATGTCCGCACTGGCGCTGACCGGGCTCACCACCGGGTCGTAGCTGCAGTCGAAGCCCATGTCGTCGATGGTGTTGGCGATGCGCTCGGCGTCCATTTGGCTGGGCTCGTAGTCGAAGTACCCAGCGGCCTCCTCCAGTTGGACGCGTGCGTTCAGCACCCCTGGCAGCTGACCCACCTGTGTTTCAATGTTACGTACGCACGATCCACAGGTCATGCCCACAATGGGCAGGCGAACAGTGGCCATGGCCACTTGTTGTTGCTGTTGCTGTTGCTGTGGTTTCTGCTCGCTGAGTGAGTCTGGTGTTGGCGCCCTTTTGGTCAGCTGTTCGATTGGATTTTGCGCATTTTTCGCATTCGCGTTTTGATTGTCATTCATTTCCTATCCTCTTCTCTTTTGTTTCTATTTCAAATAATTCTATATTGAAATTTGCATTTCACTGACCCGATTCCGATTCCGATTCGATTTGATGYTTTGTTATTGGTTGGTCTAATTGGACTCGATTTCTTGTTACAATTTACAAGCGCGCGTGTGTGGGTGTCCGTATCTGTGTATAAAAAACTGTATAAAAAACCGAAAATATCTATGTGCGCGTGTGTGAGTGTGTGCTCGTATGCGTGTGCGACTTGTCTAATTGCAACACAATAACAATTTGTATTCGTCTTTATAAGTTCAACTTTGCTTAACCACCGCGACGCGAGCTCGTTGCGCGACTGTTGGCTAATTGCATTTATCAGACGCTCATATCCAGTTTTATGACTAACTCCACATCTACATCCACGGATCGGTTTACTTCAAAATTTTGTCAACGAACTCTTTTTCGCACGAAGCGAATATTTATTTTATTTTAATTAATGCGCACAGCTGCTGGCGCTCGACATTGTGTACCGTGTGCCAATTGGAACTACTTTATGAAGCCAGCAATTCATCGAAACATCGATTCACTTTTTGACCCGTCAACAATCGACTATATCGATATACTGCCGCGTGAGCGTGAGCGTGAGTTTCTGGTGAACTATGGATTTGGCAGCACTGCAGGCAAGCACGTTCAGTGTTGGATAGTGTGTTGAAGTGCTAAAACTAAAAAAAAAAAGTAATAAAACTGCGTGTGGAAAATGCTGGCAGAGCAGCGTTTTCAGTGAATATAACGTGCGTTAAAATTGAATAATAGTAGTTAACGTGCTGTGTGTTAATGCGTATATTAAGTAAAAGTGAGAATAAAAGCAACAAACAAACATGTTATAATCGGCCTACGTAAAGTAGACAAACGTTGTTCTACTTTATCCACATAACGCGCACACAAACACACATACACTCACACACACACACACACAACCACACTCAGACTCACACACACACACGCGCGCCTTAGTAGCGCTGCCGCTGAGTGTCAACAGCTGCCGCTACCGCCTCCTCGCTCTGCCTTTGTGGTGGTGGTGGTGGTGGTCCCACAGTCAAAATGTCGGACATTAAGTAAGTTGCGTGAAAATGCAAAAATTTGCAAAAAGAAAACAAAAAACAGCGAAAAAGAAACGAAGAAGAGTGAAAAACGAAACGAGTAATAAATGACCAAAGGCTGCTACAGTCCTATTCAATTAGTGCAAAATGTGCAACATTTTGATTGCCATTTAAGTGTACCTACTGCATACACAACACACACGCGCGCGCACACACAGAACACATGCATACATGCATACACACGCATACATATTTTCAAGGTATTTGCCTGCGCAAGTGAGTATGTGTGTTTATGTTTGCGTGTGTGAGTGAGTGTGGGTGCAGTGCCCAGAAGAACCTGCGTGTCATGAAAACATACAGAAAGTAGCATATAAATACGCGGTGCATACAACATATGAGACTTCCTCTAAGGAGCATTGCCTGCCACATTGCAGACGTGTTTATTTATTTACATTCAATGGGATGCCAGTAATACAAATATTGATTATTGCAAGAACTGACTTATCAGCCTTAACAATGCGTTACAATGATATCGCTGACAATGGATATGAAAATTGCCGATATACAAACTTAGTTAATCAAATGCAAGCAATGTTCCTTAAAAGTGTTTACATATATTTGCAGTGACGATCTGCTCAACTATGAGTTAGGTCTGGGCGATGACATCGATGACCAGGCGCTGCTAGGCGCCGATGAGGATGAGCTACTGCTCTCCGATGAGGGTAAGTGTCTTTGGCTATATGTGGACAGTTCCCTTAATGACTTGCTTCCAACTGATATTATTCTCGTAGAGCTGGAAAAAGATGTGACCAGTGAGGAGAAACAGCAGATGCGCGCCGAGGCCGAGGAATGGGCCCAGGAACAACTGCGCAAGCACAAGGAACAGCAGGCGGCGGCAACAGCAGCAGCAGCAGARGCTGCAGCAGCAACAAAAACACAGCAGCAGCAACAGCAACAATCCGCCGCAGTTGCTACTGCTGCTGCTGCTGCTGAAGCGCAGTCACCTGCAGCGAGCAAAGAGAGACGAGCTAGTCGGGATATACCCAGTGCCACAATTGTGGCAGCGGCAGAGACAACGACAGCGCCGATTGCATCTGAGACAGCGCAGCAGGTCACAGAGTTCGCTGCGGCTACATCGACAACAGTTGCTGGCGGCGAGCAACAGCCAAACGAAGAGCTGGGGGAGCAACGGGCGAGCCCAACAACAGGCAGCAGTAGTCCAGCTGTGAACAATGGCAGCTCAAGGGCAGTCAACGAGGAGCACAGAGGAGGAGAGGAGCTGACAGAGCCCGACAAGGAGCCAGAGCCAGAGCCAGAGCCAGAACCTGAACGTTGCGATGCCGAGACATCAGATAGAGACGGCCTATCGTCGCTGTTGGCCACCTCGCAGGAGAGTCTGCCAAGCACCAGCTCTGCCTCAGAGCTGCCCGATCCACGCGAGGATGACGAGGAGCGTGAGGAGCGCACCAATTTTAAAACTGCCAGCGAACGTTCCGATAACCAGAAGCAACATTTGCAACAGCAGCAGCAACACTCGCAGCAGCAACAACTGCAGAGGCGACATCATGCGGGTAGGTGACCTAACCAGTGCTAGTAAAATCTATTGATATAGGTGAGAAGATCGATAGAGTTGAGGCTCGGAAGAACTGGGATAGTTTTCAAATGTAGCACGAATCTAGCACAAGAAACTCGCGTATGCTAACAATACACGTCAAATCATGTTTGTTCTTGTTGATAATACTCTCAGCAAGATAGAAGATAGAAGACTATGATCTTTATTAGAGATTATTAGGACTATTATTCATTAGGTAGTGTGGAACGCATAAGGAGACTATCTTTATAAACTAGGATCTTCATTAGAGAGTAAGATCATCATTATGGGCTATAATTGTTTTATGGGATTACCATCTTCATTATGTAGTTAGATAGATATTGTGGAGTTTGACCTTCATTAGAGAATGTAGATGCTTGTGAAGAGGTAGAGAGAGAGAGAGAGAGAGAGAGAGAGAGAGAGAGAGAGAGAGAGAGATCATTATTATATAGTTTCCTAAGCATATGTTAAATGATCAGCATGATCAGACTCCCATAGAAGATTGTGGGAAATCCAGAAAGAGCGATAATGACCTTTTGACCTTCATTGGAGAGTATGATCTTTCTTATGGACTAGGACTACCACATGGGAGTCTGATCTTCATTATTGAGTATGATCTCCGATAGGGAGCTTGATTCTAGTTACGCCTCGCATCTCATCTCATGCACATCTATCTTCTCACATCTAGTCATTTGATATCTTGTGCTCATCGTGCTCTTACTCCTTCTGTTCGCAGACAAACTACGCATGGGTGGCTCTGGGGGACCACGATTTATGGCGGGCAACAACAACCAGAACAGCAACAGTAAGCGCGGAATGGGCGCTCGGCATCATCTGTTGCGCAATCCCGGCCCGCACATGTTCAATCCACAACGGATGCTGGGCATGTCGATGCCACGGTTTCTGATTCCCGGTAATGCACATGCACATKCACATCCACATCCACATGTCCATGCGCACTCGCATGCACATCTGGCCACGTTGATGGCGGGGCCGCCGGCAGTTGTTGCGGCTCCAGTGGCTGCTTGTATTTTGGCCACGCCACAGGCCACGCCCCGTCATCAGCAGCAGCAGCAGCAGCAGCAGCAGCAACAAAAGCCACAACAGCAGCAACAAACACTAACACAAAACAAAACTGCATTCATTCCAGGCCAATATGCACCACAAGCACCACCGTCAACACCCACACAACAGCAACAACAACAGCAACAGCAACAACAACAGTCGCCATACACCACAAACAATACAGGCCCCGTTCCATCCGGCGGTCCCGGTCCCGGTCCCGGTCCCGGTCCCACTCCATCCCCGCATCTACACAATCCGCACTTGCTGCAGCAGCAACATAACAACAATAACAACAACAACAACAGCAGCAGCAACAATGCCAGCAACAACAACAGTGGGGGCGGACCCAACGGATTGCCGCCGCCGCACCTATTGCCGCATCCGCATTCGCATTCACACTCGCATCCGCACGACCAGGTGCGAGTGGGTCTGCTGCAGCCCCCGTTGCCATTGCCACTGCCCTATGGCGGTGCCGCCTATCGCAATGGCGCGTTGCTAGGCCAGGGCCCACATCCGCCCCCAGTTGCACCACACTCGCCCGGGATGCGGCCACCGCCGCCCTATCGCAATGCGCCGCCTGGCTATGGCCCACATGGACCTGGTCCCGGGCCCGGAGGCCCTGTGCCCGGCTACGATCCGCATATGGGGGGCCAGTACATTCGACCGCACAACGGCTGGCGGCCCCAGAGCGATGCGCCTGGCTCGCGCATGCCACGCCCACCGCTGCAGGCGTTGCCCCAGCACTTGCTAGCGGGCGGACCCGGCTACATGAACGGCATGAATATGCGTGCGCCGCATCCGCACATGCAACAGCAGCAGCAGCCGAATCCCGGCCCGCCAGGGGCCGCAACGCAGCCTCAACAACCGCAGGCAGTGGCGCCAGGTGCCGCGCCACCAATTGGTCCCGGTCCTCACCAGCAGCAGCAACAACCGCAGCAACAGCAGCAACCAGTGGTGCAGCCGTCGGCGGTGCCGCTCGGCGTTGTCAGCAAGGTGCTGATCAATCCGAACTTCAAGGGCGGCGTCAAGGCGGCCACCAACAAGTTCATCAAGGAGACGCACTTTGTGCCGGCCATCAACAGCGAGGCGGAGCTGCTGCGACAGCAGGAGGAGTTCATATTCAAGAATCAGCAGTACTTTGAGAAGCGACGCATGGAACGCTCACCCCCGCCGCCCAGCGCCAACTCGGCGACGGCGTCGGGTGCCCAAAGCGAGCGACGGCGGAGTCGGACACGCAGTCGATCGCGTGGACGCAGTTACTCGCCATTGAAACGCACGGAGCGGGAGCGGGAAAGAGATCGCGACAGGGACCGGGAAAGAGAGCGAGAGCGAGAGAGGGAACGGGAGCGGGAGCGAGAGCGCGACAGAGAACGAGATCGTGATCGTTATGGAGGCGGTGGTGGAGGAGGCGGAGGAGGAGGAGCTCGTCCAGYTGCGAGCAGCGGTGGTGACAATCGAGGCTACCGACGCGCTGTCAACAGCAGAGAACGCGATGAGAATCGCAGTGGAGTCGGCGCCGCACCGCCCAAACGGCGACGCAGTGGCTCGCCAAACGGGCCGCGGAATCCCTTCTCAGGCGAGCCGCGCAATCGGGCAGCGGAGGGCGCTGCCAGTGGCAGTCGCAACCTGGTAAGTCCAGCAGCCACAGCCCACAGCGAGCACTCGCTAACCTCATTCGCTTTGCATTCCACAGCCCAGCGACGAGGACGAGGAGACGCGCGCCTATCGCCTGAAGATCGAGAAGCAGAAGCAGCTGCGCGAGAAAATCATGCGCGACAAGGAGCTGAAGCGGCGACGCGCAGCCGAGGAGAAGCAGCACGAGGTAAATATCTATAGATATAACTTCTTTTTGCATATATGAAAATATATATACCACATATACCATATAAGAATTTATATGCTAAGACTATGTATGTATGTATCTAAGCAGCTTAGGCAAAGCTAAAAGCAAAGTAAATTCTGTAAATTAATTTAAAATGGGAAACTGTCAGGATATTCAAAAGTATCTCAGTCTGGATTAGAGCTTTGACTCGATTATAACTAGAGGGTAGGCATAAAAATCACCAAAAAGTAGAGCCACAGATTGTAAATGGAGTCGGAGTCTATCGTTTGTCCTACTGTCTTATATCGGGAAATATTATATTCGATTATAAGCATATATATAGAAGGATAGAAGTAGTAGAAGTAGAGGTCAAAAGATTATGAATGCCAGTAGAGAAACCATAAATGAAAATATGAAGGAACCATTGGAACGAGAGCGATAGAGATAGAGTGTGAGAGACAAAGCGAAAAGAAAAACCATTTAATGGTTCGTTCCGTCCATGCTGAAGCTAGTAAAAGAGATTAGTTAAGTAAGTTTCGAATTTAAATTTAACAAGATTTCCGCGACTTGCAGGAGAAGCGCGTCGAGCAGCACAGTCCGGCGACACGGGACGATCTGGAGTCTGGCAGCGGGCAGGCGGGGAGCACAGCGCCTGGCAGCGCACAGAAGCAGCGGCAGGGCAATGAGCGCAAAGTCATTTCGCTGAAGCGACGCGAGGACGCCGAGGCGGGCAATGGACGCAGCAGCCGGCAGCAGCAGCAGCATGCGCCAGGTGTGCGCAAGCAGCTGACGGCTGCAAAGATTGCGCCGGAGGCGAAGCGCAGCATAACCGAGCACTTGGCGCCGTCGAGCAAGCAGCTGTCAGGTGGCGGGCGAGCCGCTGGCGGCACACCGCCCACGAGCAGCAGCAGCAGCGGCATCATTAGCACCACCAGCAAGGGGCGGGATGTGGCGCCAGCTGGTGGCATGCTGCGGCTGGGCACGCCCAGCGACGATGAGGTGGACCTCGACTATGACGACGATGATCTGATGTTGGATGAGGAGGATCGTCTGCTGGCCACACCATCTCCACCGCCGCCGTCGTCGTCGTCGTCGTCGCGTCCCAACATCAAGCGTTCGGCCACGCCGGAGCTGCTTGTGGTCAAACGCAATCCGAAGCTTGCGCGCAGCGGTGCTGCCAGCTTCAGTGGCGGGCAGCGGCGCGTGGTGCTCAAGCCATCCAGCAGCAGCAATGGTGGCTCGGAGCAGCAGTCCACGTCGCATGGCGGCGGCAGCAACAGCAGCAACAACAACAACAACAGGCAACGGGAGCGACGTCAGCGCGAGGAGCAGCAAATGCAGCGTAAGGGCAACAGCAGCGCTGGACAAACTGGAGCTAACAGCGGCATCTTTGAGCGTTTGGAAAAGCGTCAGGCGGCATCATCAACATCGTCTGGTGGAGGAGGAGGAGGAGGAGGAGGCGGAGCAGGAGCAGGAAGTAACAGTGGAGGCGGCAACAGCAGCAACAAGCAGCGCACCAAAGCTCCAACACGCATTG